GCCCCAGTCTCCGGCTCCGTCGCGCGCACGGGCCGCTCGTACGACGCGTATCGCGTCCCCCGAGAGCTCGCCCCGGGATTCATGGACAACGGCACCATCTCCGCCAACCACCCGATCGTCCAACAGTTCGTCGCCTTCGCCGCCCGCAAGCTCCTCGCCGCAGAAGCCCTCGACGCCGCGACTGGACACGCTGCTATCGCCGATCGACACAGAAGCCCCAAACACCCCGAGGTCACTCTCTGGCGACTCGAGGAGGGCGGCGTCGCGTGCGTAGGGGACGTCGAGGATGCGCTGGGCGCTCCGGTGCCGGCCCGTCTGGCGGAGGCGATCTTCGCGTTGGCCGCGTTGGCCGTGTACGCGTTCCCGATGCGTCCAGCGCATTGGGCGTTCTGGGCGGAGAATAGCCAGAAGCGGGTTTCAGGGTTGATTCACGGGGTCGTATGTGAGTGTTCTGATTGTGTGTGGTCGACAGGAAGCTGGTTGACTGAGGACCGTGGAATGTCAGGCGCCGACCCGAAGGTCATCCACGTCCCAAACGGGGTGTCTTGGGACAGTGCAGACCGCGCTGTCAAAGACCTACGCTTTTGGCATAAGGGCTGGAGGGAGGAGGACACCCAGGGACCGCTGGAGAGACGCAGGAGTCCTCGCAAGCCGAAGAAGTCTGCTAGCGGCGACATCCCTCCCTCGAGCGCGACCAAGCAGCAGGTCAAGAACACGAACGGCAAGCGTCCCGCGCCCGACGACGGCCCCTCTCAGTCTACGAAGAGGCGGCGGAAGGCGAAAGACGACATGGCGGGGACGAATGAGGAGACGGGAACGCCGCGCAGGTCGCTCAGGACTCGCAAGGAGCTGCAGGAAGCGTCGTCCTCCACGTCGCCTTCTTCCATGGCGCTCGCCGTTGACGACCCCGCGGCGATGGCCGTGGACATGGAGGCGGTCCAGACAGTCGAGGATACCGAAGCCTCGACAGCTGCAGGATCGCAGAATCCTCCAGCTGCGAAGAGCACGAGGAGACCCCGAGGGAAGGCCGCGGCGACCAGGAGACCCGCTGCGAAGCGGAAGGCGAGGAATACACGAAAGGCACCCTCAGGAGGCTCGCCATGTGAGAGCCCATCGCTGTCGGCACAGTCACCAATCACGATCCGCATCCCGCCGCGGTCTGCAACCTCGTCGCCAGCGGTGGCTACGCGCGAGCTGGCGGATGGAGCTCCAGCCTTGACGTGGGACGAGCCGACAGTAGCCGCATCGCCGTGGTCTTCGTGCGACACCGCGGTCGAACCGTCTACCGGGGTGACTACGCGCGTCGGGACGCCTCAGCCGGACTTGGAGGGCAAGGTTAAGCCCGGAAGTTTGAGACCAAAAGTGGCTCCCGAAGTTGCTGGACGGCTTTCAACCAAGATGGGTAGGCGCGCGTTGCGGAATCGGTGACGGGCCATGGCCACCTCACCAAATTGTGAAAGTCAGCGTCCTTTGCTTCGGACGTGCCTCGATGTTCTCTACCTATATCGCTAGCTATTCTTATTCTGTTAATTTAAATTGTTGTAGCACTGAATGGAAAATACATGGTACTCGCTTCGTGGCCGAAGTGAAGATGCGTGGGGGACGCTTACGGACAAATACATGGGCCTTCGTGTTGGGAGGAGAGAAAGAATATTTGGTGATGATAGAAAGTACAATTGCATGCAAGATAGAGTACACGACAGCATGAGCGCACCTGCGAATGACTCCGACACCTCTCAGCTCCGATAGTAGTTCACATGAATATCCGGAGATCATCGCTTGTTCTGTGCCGCAGCCTCTGACAAAGAGACGATAAGCGAGGTCCTGGACTCGGTGAAATATCACGTACCTCGTCGTGTCGCGTCCTCCAACAGCTGGGTATCCACGTGCTCGGCTGGCAGTTGCACGTACCGGACGACGGAGCCGCGAATGAAACAGTTCTTCACCGCCATCTACGTTGACGATAGCAATGAGTAGGGTCAGGAGCGACGGCCGAGGGTGCTGGTCGCACCATATGCGGGTGTCGCGCCTCGTCCAGAACCTTGATGTTGTCTAGTCGGATGTTGAGGAACCTGAGGTGATGATAAGCAATTATAGTACAAACTTCGCGAAATCAACGCAGACATACTGGTCAACAGACTTCAAGGTGCCGGTGATAGAGAGGTCATTCTTAAGCTCGACAGTGACCCTTTGGTCGGTGAGGGTTTTGAATACCGAAAAGATCAGCTAATGGGTATGTTCAGTACAGAGCGTACAATTGAGCAAAGGTAGGGCACACCATGATGGAGACCAGTGGAAGCTAGGATGTCGCCGACGATTTGGAGGTCGACGCGCCGCGGCGGCTAGGCGAAACCGGCGCCTCTGGATGCTAGTCCACGTGACAGCTATAGCCTCCCACTTTCAAATCTGAAAGTGACTTTGCAGCTCCTTCGACTCCACTATTGCAGTCACTGGCAGTTCCATCCTTCAAGGCTTGCAGTATTTGTACTCCTTGCAACCGAATTCCACGCGGGCACTTGCTCGTAGCATCCCCTAGCGTTCTTCTCTCTACTTCGCACCCTCTGCACAGTTCAAGCCTCCGAATCACCGGAAAACTATAGGCATGAGGATTGCGCAGTGCCGGTTATTTCGGCTCTTCTGGGACAGACGGCGATCGTGGCACAGTACCCGACTGTACGATGGCCAAACAGTAGTGCTGGTGATGATTTACGTTATATTCCCCTTCTCCGGTCGGCAGAACACAGCGTGCACAGTAACACGAAGTTACGCGGTTCCATACAGTGGAAGCTCCCTAATCCTGAATGCTAGACTATATTCTTGGGCGGACCATGGTTTTCCAGTACGCGTCTTGTTCTCCATGCTGCCATATGGGTTAAGGAAGTAAGCCCTCCGCGCGATGTCGTTGGCTGTCCGTCTTATGACTATTATCTGTTGGCATTCGACAGTGCTTTCGCACAGCTATTAGGGATACAGCGATGCATTGTTGGGCAGGCGCATCCGCATTTCCCGATATTCATTGATGGGAATGGTGATTCCTGACGCCAACTCTGCTGTTCCCCATTAATCCAAGGTCTCCGGCCCTTCCTCTCTTTGTCGATCACGGCCGGTCGTCTCGCCTGCACGGCCCCACCGCTGGTCCTGATTAATGTTGCTCCGAACATGAGTGAGTAGACTGTTCACTGCCTGCCCGGGATTTAGTACTTAAAGATCACATCATGGGATTATTCCGACCCCATCCTGGCGACCATGCTTTCACGTTCGCTTCTCCCTCTTCTTCAGCTTCTTCACTTCTTCACTATTTATTCCACCGCTGTCAATGGACAGCACTTGGGGTCTGTCTTACAAGCCGTCAGTCATGGCGCCGGCATGATGAACCTCGACGAAGTGGGGCTGGCCAATTCTGGGAATGTGATAGTATGTCGTATTCAGCCATGTCACGGCCCTGAGACTAATCGCCAGTAGTACTTGGTGAACGTAACGCTGGGAGGGGAAGGTGAGTGCTTCAAAGCCATTCCTGATTGATCTGACCGACCGGAGACCATCGCAGACTTCACCGTCCAACTTGATACCGGGTCGACTGACCTTTGGATTGATGCTCGCGGTCGCAATGTCAAGCTCACGAATTCCACTACCAATACCGCGAACGAGACGTACGGACAGGGCTCAGCGTCCGGTACCATCAACTATGCTGAGCCGACGGTCGGAGACTATGTCGTTGCCTCACAAGGTGCGCTTTGGTCGCATCATAATGGAAACGTATGTTGACAAGCAAGTGTTAGCCTTTGTGAAGGCATCGGAGGTACGTTGTGACCTGCGGTCTTACTTACCCGTTTCTCATCGCATGGCAGGTCGAGAATATGCCCGCCGGAATCCAGGGTATTCTTGGTATGGCGTTTGACAACGCCAGGATTTTCGAGAACCTCGAACAAGCGTGGGGAACGGAAGCAGCAGAGAAGCTCGGTCGCGCCTTCATCACCAATCTCTTCGCCCAGAACCAATCTCTCCCCAACAACTTTGACCTCCAGCTCGGCCGGTCAACCTTCGATGATCCGACCGGGAATAACACGTTCATCATCAGCGGTCATGCGGCGGGTTTCGAGGACGTCGCACAGGCCCCGAAACTTACTCGCGAGGTTTCCGACCACTGGACCGTCCTCTTGGACGAGATGCGCGTAGATGGTAAACAATTCTTGTTCAACAAGTCGGTCGTCTCTGGTGTACCCGAAGGCAACGTCCTTGCTGTTCTTGACAGCGGCTTTTCTCTCCCACCCCTCCCTGCTGCCGCTGTCAACGCTATTTACAGCACGGTTCCGGGAGCCGTGCTTCATAGCAGTCCAATCGGTGCCCTCAATGGCTGGATTCTTCCTTGCGACTTCCCTCCCATTGATGTCTCATTCACTTTCGGGTAAATGACATCTTGCATGAGCTTGGCGTGCACGTACTCATGGAGACTTGCAGCGGCAAGGAATACCCCGTCCACCCGCTAGACCTGTTCCTGCCTGTGTTCCCGGTCCCCATTATTGAAAACGGCAGCGAGAAGAACGTCACTGTGTGCGTGGCGACCTATCAGGCCTTGGCGCTCGATCCTGCTTCCTTCAACACTTTCGACCTGATCCTCGGCGACGCGTTCCTCCGTAGTGTCTACGCTTCGTGAGTCCCAATCTCGACAGGCATCCTGCTTTAGTCTCACGAGTCGTATTCTATAGCTTCGACTATGGGGACTACAACCCAACGAACAACACTAATGGCCAGCCCTTCGTGCAGATGGTGTCCACGGTCGACGTCTACTCCGCTCCGAACGAGTTCGAGGACTTCCTCTCTGAACTGCGCAGCAACGCTCCTCCGTCTCTCGAGCCCTCCGTATTCGTCACCAAGCAGCTCTCTCCTTCCCTAACTGGGGGCACCAACGCATCTACTGACAGTTCGGTGCGCGGTTCGCTCGCTACCGACGCCGACGCTACATCCTCCGGCTCCTCCAACGGCTTGGACAAGAAGTGGGGCACCATCGCGCTCGCGCTCCTTGCCGCGAACCTCCTGGTCGGGATCATCCTCCTCATCGTCGTGCTCACCATGTGTGTTCGCGGGATGAAGGGCCGGAGGATGTCGAATCCTGATTCGCGGTGTCACGCTGTTCCCGTCAAATTCAAAGAAGTCGCCGATCCCGATCCTGAAGCGGGCCCGCTCAGGTATAGCGACTGAGTCCAGAAGGCGGTAGTAGGGTGATTGTCTAGAGCCATCACCGCTGTCCGACGTTCCCGCCGACCCTCGTAGACCCTGAAAGCGACTGCCGTCACGAAGGCGCTTCACCCTTTGCGTAATACATCTCGCCTAAATACGTTCGGCAAGTTTGTCACATCCGAGTTCTAACGTCGTTCTGCGTTGTCTGCTTGGCCGCTCCTCCAATGCATACGTTTTCGCTCCCAACTGCTTGCGGCATATACCTTGCAACCGGTGCTCACATGGCACCTCGCTCTTAACATCCTGCAGCGCGTTCAATCCCACTTCCTGCCTTAGGCGTCCCGTGGGGCTTCTGCCCAGGCATAACGCGTCAACCCCAATTCTAGCCAGTCACAATAAACTTTTGCACTGAGCGAAATGAACTACAAGCCTTTGTTTGCGGATCGCCCTTCGCAATTGCACTATGACAACCATGGTCAGCGAGCGTCAAGGCTGACTTTTAGTATCATCTCTGGTCTGGGGCTCGTGTAGCCCATCGATGGGAAGCGGAGGCCAGAGTAATTCCACGTCATCCGCTCCTCCGGGAATTCGAACCTGAAGCACTGAGAGTACACTTTCTGAGCAAAGGTACGGGCATCGATTATCGAGCAATGCCCATGAGCGAGAGCAGGAAATATGTACTCTTCAGCTACTTGAATCCGCTGCATCATCGTACGAGATATAACGTAATGGGGATGACTTTTAGCGTGCGAAGCCTAGAGTAGACGTGACCAGATGGCCACCCTCCGCACCTGTTCTTTGCAGTCCTTATAGCATGGCCACGGCGGCAGTATGCGTCTGCAGTGCTCAAATATACGGACGACCGTGGCGCGTTCGCAGCCGCCTGTAGAGGTGACTTTGCCCTCGCCCCTGAGACAAGCTTATTGTGCCCGCGTTGCCCGCGATTTCTTGTAACACCGTTCTTGACGACGACAGAACATTTTCCGATATCAGCGTGCCAACGTACCTGTTTTTTTGGGTCGGATCTCGAGGTCGAAGTGGAGCATGAACGGCGTGAAGCCGACAGCGAAAAGCTGCTCTGTGAAGTTCACCTGAACTCGGGTCGGCTTCGACGTCATCAGGTCTGATTTTCAGTACAGCAATGGCGACCTGCGCCGACCATCTTGCATGCAGCATATGAGTAGGATTGCACAGAGGTCCCGGTGTCATTTGCCAAGTTCAGGGCGGATTCTCGAACAGCACGCCGGCGAAGTCCGGCAGGAGGATTGCAAGCGCGCCTCTCTACCACGTGGCGAGGACCTTGTTTGTCAAGGCGACCGTCAGCCTTTCATCAGCAAAAAAGCGAAACGGATGGTCGGTGATGACCAGGTTCCGCAATTCTGACCAGATTGGGCAAGGTATGAGAAGTAGATGGTGAACCCGTAGCAAATCCGCCAGATATGGTATGCAATGGCCAGACCTTGCAGGGCGCCTGGACAATGATAGCCATTTCTCGCTGAGCATTCAGACAGCAGCTACCATACTGTAGGGGAACTAAGGCCGATAATGTACATTATTGACTGGGCTCATGAACATACATGGTCAGTGGCTTGTGCAAATTCTACCATACATGCCCATGCTGCGAAATGGTCACTTGTCACGTTCAGAAAGTAGCCGACAAATGATCACACAATTCGAGTTTGGTTTTCGATGATATTGATGATTGGACGCGAACTGCTATACATGGAAGAAGGCAGACATGAATGTAGCCAGTCTACACACCTACTGTGCGCGAAAAAAAGCGGGTTAGGGTTAGCAGGGCTAGTCGCTGGGTGAGCAGGAGCAAGGATGCTCCCGAGGCCAAAGTCACAAGTACGCAACAATGTCTATGCAATCATACAAAAGGTAAGTCAGGCAACAAGGCTTATGGAAAGGGCAAGAGCGAGACACAACTAGTGTGTGCACATTATACATACCTATGGGATGTTTATGAGGAGTCGAAGGCAGGCAGGTGGGGCTAGACATTAGTAGCTACAGCCGTCTTGGCACGACTCACAAACATCAGATCCCAAGGGGCATGTTGCAGAACTGGTACGTTGTAGCGGGTGATAAAGGGGGGATGCAGACGCGGCGTCGAGAGATGGGGGTTTTGCAAGAGATAGTTCAGGGCAGGGCTGGCACAATGACAGGCCGTTGATTGAGTTATAACCTAAAATACGCGTCATCGATGAGCAAGATTGAAAAGTATCAGTAGGGAGTACACGTAGAAAGAAGGCAGGGTGAGGATCGTCACCACACCGGGCAGACGCTCACAATGGCTGCATGCCCATGCTCCGGCGCGCGGGGCATCTGGTCGGTTTTGCTGTGGACGCTGTCGCGATCGTCCACAGCAACGACACCATCTGACTGAATACAACGCTGCTGAGTTGCCGTGCACTCACCCGCTTTGCCTGCATCGGCACTTCGGCGCCGTGTTCTACAAATAGTAGGCTGCAACCTGACCTGCCGCCCCATGCCGCCGCTCATGGCGGCGGCGGCAGATGCACAGACGAGGAGGCAGAGAGAGCCGAGGCGGAAAGGAGGATGGAGGAGGATGAGGAGCGCGTTCGGGAGAGAGATTGGGGAGATGTTAGTAAGGAGTGCCGAGGAGGCGGCTGTGATGCAGCGGAGCGCTTTGCTGGTCTCGACGTATACGCACTTTCTCTGATGACGATTGAGTGGTATGAACTAAAAGGACAAGATGAATACCTATCTACCATTGTCGGGATCCATGCGTGTTGAACAGGCGCTGGTTTACACAGCTTGCCTAATACAGCCGTCACAAGATATGGAACGGCACAGCCGGTTACTGCAATAACCGAGGCTGTACTACTCATGTGGTACACGCACAGCTTCGCTGTGTACGCACTGCTTCTCTGTGCGACTGTGCATCCTGGGAATGTACTGTATAGTACTACGTAGCCACAGATGTACAGTAGTATATATAGGGGACCTCTGTACCCCCAATCTACAGTTCAGTTCACTCGAACATCTCCTCTCATCGCTCTAACAATGTCACAGCCAACGAGCTGTGCCACCAAAACAAACAAGGGCAAAGCTTACTGATGCAAAGGTTGGTGCTGAGAAGCGAAGCAACCAGAGGTGACACAGCAAGAGATGTGAAGAGATGTATTCCCTAGACTAGAAGGGGCAATAGAAGGTAGGGCTGCTAGCTACCTA